ATGCTAATATTAGATATACCCCTCTTGAATAATTTTAGGTATGTAATATTAACCTTAACTATACTAACCATGCACTTAACATTAATCTTTACTTATTACTGATAAGTTGTTTTCCTTTCTTTCTACTCATTTGTTCTTTCCAACTATGTAACCGTTTTTGTAATATTAAACCATTATTTTGTAAATATATATACCATACCCTGTAAATTCATTTAGATTGCTCTGAAGATGTTGTATTGTAAACAACGAAACGTTAGCTAATTAAAATTTTACTTTTATGTTTGGTTTTAAAGTTATTTGCTGGGCTCTGCTCTTTATCTTTAAACTAAGATTTCCGCCTGGTGTATCAATTGCCACAGTTTTAAAGAAACGATATAAAGATGACAAGTCACTGAATGCTTTCAGAAAATTTCAACAGTTGGAATTGAAATTGCAGAAAGCGAGGTTTGATCTAACCTTTCTCGAAAGAACTCGGTTATTCCAAAGTTTCTTAACTTTAAGGTTGCTAACCGAAATCTCCGTAACTCGAACGCGTACTTACAATGTCAACGTAAGTTACTCAACCACGAGATATCCACTAAACATTCCCGAATTAATGTTCTGTCCTTAGAGGTCAACGAAGCACTCTCATATCTAACCTCACTAGTTTCAACTATTGATGCCATCCATCTCAGATCTGTTTGTGACCGTGAGAATACCAAGAAACTCCGTCATCATGAAAAAATTCAACACAAGAAACTTTTTCGTTTGTGCGGCGATGTATCAAATCCTCTACACCGGACCCAGACAGTTATTTTTAATTACTCGTCTCGTACACTTTCTGATACGGAGAAAAATCTACTAGCTCGGGGTCTCAACTTGTCATTACCACCACGTAAATTGCAGTTCTGTGATTTTCTCACTCCGTTTGAAAAGATTTTTTAAATTGATTAAGAAGGAAACTATAGCAACCAATTCTGGATACGACGAAGAGTTAATTAAAACTCGGATTAAAGATATTCACAATTTTATTAAATTCACAATTCACAATTTTATTAAATTTAAAGAAAAAGAAAACAAATAAAATACAGTACTACACGCAAAATAGCAAAGCTAATCGAGGCGTGTAGTTACAATATCAAAATTATAAAAATTATATGCTCATTATATTTATTATTAATGTAACAATGTAAGGTGTTACATGAATAATAACTGATCTTAATAATAAAAGTATACTTTTGGCATAGAATTATATACTAAATATCTAATATTTCCCATTTATAACAACCACTTAATAATTTCTTGAATACTATACTATAACAGCTATATCATGGGAAATTTAGAATTATTTTCAATGCTTGACCATTTGTTGAACTATTGTGGGTACATCAACATAATCATCCTCAAGTTCAAGTATTGTTAAAAGGGTTTTCTTTATTATTTTATTGAAATTCGTTCTTCCCAATTCACGCACATCAGTGGAAATATTATTCCATACTTTTGCTCCAACTCTTGCGAATGATGAATTTGTTTTTGTAAGTCTTGCATATTCAATATAATAATTCTTAGATACGCAATGCCTAGTGTTATGGTTATGAATTTGTCTTGAGTGAATGAAGCAATTAGAAATTGAAGATGGGCAAGACTCGTTAGAAACATCGTGCATTAAATTGGAAACAGCTTTGATATAAAGCATATTTATAGGAAGTATTTTTGATTCAATAAAAAGTGGAATAGCATGTTCTCTGTATTTTTTTAAATAAATTAATCGTAATGCCCGTTTTTGTAAAATAAGTATCTTATTGACATACCTTTTTGATGCATGCCCCCATGCAATTAAGCCATAAGTTATATATGGTAATATTAAACAACGATATATATTATGCAAAGTTGAAACAGGTACAAAGTGTCTCAGTCTAGCAATTACGCCGATAGCTTTACTTATTTTAGAGCTAATGTTATCGATGTGGTATTTCCATGTAAGATTATTATCTATTAAAACTCCCAAATATTTGACAAATTCTTTGCATTCGATTTCAAT